TGAAAATAGACAAGTTCTCTCGATTAAAAGTATTCATATATCATATATGATGACTTTGAACTAAAAAAAATGAATGTCTACAATCCTAGGGCTTATTGTAACAGTTGAATACATGAAACATTAAACTGTTCTCTTACTAACTAGAAAAATTACATCTCTGCCCTTTGTCCATTAAGGGTGCACCACTGGCAAGAGGGTACAGTTACATAAATGAGCACATAAGAAATATGTATGGACAAAATTGCATGAAACTAAGGGAAATATTGCCGAAAGTGTTGTTCATTATAACTATGCTTAATTTAGTCATACGCAAGGCCAGGGCTATTACACCCCTAATACCTTAACATAGTTTTTTTTCTGATATTAGGTTGTAGCATTGCATGCTTTCAATTGATGTATGATTTTTTTTTCTATGCTTTTCTGTTGCCTGTTTTTTTTTTGTATGAACAGATCACTAAGGTTAAGTCATTTAATACCATTTTATAACTGAATTGATATCTTTCTATTTAGATGTATCCTGTATCCCCTTTGATATTTCTGTTGGTAAACTCTGTTTACTTGTATATTTTGCATATTTTTGTAGTATACATGTTTGAATAATGAGCGTATTATTTGAACAAAATAACTTTATCAACACTATTTAAAGATCTTTTGATGTTTCTATTTTGTTGACTCCGTTTACTTGTATAATTGTTCACTTTTAAATACATATATGGGTAATAAGCTTTTTATTTGATCAAAATAAATTCAACAAGAATTTTAAAACTTCTTTTAGTTTTCATTCTTAGATTTTGAAGAGTCTTTATTTCTTGAAGAGAATACATATTACATGTAATAATTCTTTATTAATTAAGACTGAAATATAAAAATTGCTCCTAAACAAATGATTATCTACTTATCATGTTTTGTCGAACACCGGTCGTTTATAACCAGTCTATTTGTGCTGCAAAACTCTATAAATTTTGCCCATTGTCGAAGTACATGTAACGGTTTTTTTTAATATTTTCTCGTTGTTGAATACACTTTGAAAGTAAATATACTTGTTGTACGAAAAAAATTATTTTTAAACTAAATAACAAACGAAAATATTTTAACATTTACATTTTTTTTCAAATTCAGATTTTTACTAGAAAAAAATCCAAGGTACATCTTATGACAAGGATGGATGATTTCAAAATTCGTAACATCTGATTTTTTCTTTTAGATATTACCTTAATCCAAAAGTGAGACCTTCTTTTTGTTTTCAATCAATTGAGTCAACTAAAAATAAGTAGTTTTAATCCTCTTATTGTCCTAACTATCAAGATGCAACAAAGAGATTAAAAAAAGTATTCATGGTAACCTTTAAGCCACTTAGTACCCGAAATATTTAAATGTAGTCAAGGCATTCCAAAAGTAGGACGTTGTGACCTACTTTTTCGTTAAGGCTCATGACAAGGATGAATGCTTAGTCCTAATTGAGCTGCACAGTGTCCAAAAATGCATTTTATACAATTTGAAAATATTTACTTGCACAATTCAACACGAGGCCTTCCAGACCTTGAATGTCACATGAGTTTGATATTCCAACTTTAAATTTGGTTCCTTTTTTAAACTAAAGATCATGAAATTCACATTTTTTGAAGTAAAAAGCCTTTTTTCTCACCCCAATTTATCATTTATTCTGTTTATTTAATACCCAGAAGCAGGTAAATATAAAAAATTACTTTTTTACTTCAAAATCAGTACAGCCTCAGGAACTCCTGATCTTGAGGCCACACACTTCAGAATTCTGGAAGACGCACCTTTGTTCTTCATTACTATGCACATAGATTAGTCTGTTTCTTTATTGTTAAGGAGAAGATTGTCGAAGCATTAATGCATTTTTGTAAAATATAAAAAGAGTCCCACCTACTCAACTCTTGACTCTAGGGCCAAATGTTTCCAATTTTGTAAGAAAAACCGATGCTTGTTCTTTATAACCATGTTTCTTAGTTTATCGGCCCAGGGGCAGGTGAGGTCAATTTATTGATATTCACTATAAAACATATGGAGATAACGAACAGTAAAAATATTGCCGTGGTCATAAATTTAACAATTTTGGAAGGATCGTCCTTGCTTATCATATTCCTAAACTTGGTTCTTTAGGTTTATACCCATGCAGGAACATGCAGAGAAGATTTTCAAAGAATTAATTTATTTCACTCTATTACAGGGGCCTCGAACTAAATCATTTTAAGAAGCATCCTTGCTCCTTTTAATTAGATATCTTGTCTAATTGTTTGCTCTCTCTATTATCTAAATACAGAGGATCAGAGATGATCAAAAAATCATACATTTTTAGTATATATGTTCAACCAAGTCCCGCCCTAGCACCAGAACCTCTGTCCCTGTGACAATAATATAAGTTTTGCGAGGACTCAGTGGCTATTCAAATCAAAGCCAACAGTTTGTCTGCTTGGAGACCGGGAGTAAATTTTTTTTTCAAGATTTTCTGTCCCATCCCTAAGACCCGAGAGGGTGTAGACCATGAAATTCCTAATTTTGTACGTATCTCTCCTTGATGTTATATACTGATTAAAATTTTTTGAAACGTAACTAAGAGATAGCAGTAGAATACCTTTGTGATTCAAGTGACCTAAAATGTAGATCACTGTTTTACTGTTTCACGTAATATCTCTCGGAGTAGTCAGCTATGCTGGTGTAATGGAAGAATTCAATATACTCATACTCAATCTTACAAAAATGCATTCAGCAATGGATGTCAAACGATGCGAAATAGTGATCTTGTCAGTCAACATTCATAGCTAAAGGTAATTTTTTTTTCGGTTAAATTCCATCCTCAACAATGTGCTTTTTTATATTGTTCAGTACAATACCTATTGGTAGGCCTTTCAACTGCCGCTAGGGGTCGGTTTTATGAACGATAACTCACTGCCGAAACTTGTTTAGAGCAGGCTCGGGTATCTAACTGTTTACACGCAAGGCAGTTTTTAGCATTTCCCATGTGTTTCTTTGCTCTCAGCAGAATCCAGTGGTTTTAAAATTTAGCACCAATGTTAAACTTATTTACTGTATTGTTAGGGACACCGTTTTACTGCATATAAATAAAATTTTTAATTAAAATAAAAAGTGAAATATACCCTCCTTCTCAGTTCTAACCTAATTAAATTTTTATACTTGGTCGTTCCCCGTCGTGCTTAGTAACACAAATAAGATGATCCATTGTTGCATTTACTTGTAAAAATATATATATTTACACAGGAAGCGAAAAAGCGCGAACACAAAAAACATGACATTAAATTTTCTTCTTCATAATAATCGTCAAAGAGAGTTAAAACTATTGAATATAGTCTGTTCCCCATTCATTTGACCCTGTTATTTCAGGTAGAGTGAAGGCATTCTCTTTCTCTTGGTCAAAACTTTTTGTGTACAAAACAATGTAAGGAACCCTTTTATTTATATAACAATACCAATGCTGAAGCAGCCTATATGTAATTCCTATAAACGATAACTCATAAATCGGCACTTAGTTGGTCATTTTTCACACCTGAGTTACCTGTCCTTAAACACAGCATCGAAGTAGTCAATTATAAATAATTAAACTTTTTAATGGTGTAATTAAATGTATGCATAAGTTATTATCTTTTTTGATAATTTTATGTACCTATAAAGTATAAATCTATCTATATAATGTTTTTTACCATATGTGCAACTTGAAAAATTAGTTGAAAGGCCTACTATTGGTTCGTCACATAGTGTACATCCTTTTGATTTCTCACCAAACTAAGCACGCTGTTTTTATAGAATATTTTTCAAAATGTTCAATGAAAACATTTAGCTAAAATAAAAACCATCAAAGAACAACAAAACCAGAGAAGTATGGAGTATTGGTTTATTACATGATGATCGTGTTTATCAACCTAATAATACAGTAACACTCGGGCCCTTCACTGAACTGAGATATAAACAACGTACCAGCAGTCCTCTACACAATTCATTATTATTAATGACCAAATTAGTTTTCATCACATAGGCAGTCAATTTCTGTCCATTCAGGGAATATTTAAAAAAAAATGAAATTTTGACGTCATCTATGACATCATATGACGTCAAAACTCTGATGGTGCCATGGTGAAGATACAGCAAGTACGTGTTTTGAGGTCAACACACAGAAATAAAAAAACAGATTTCATGACAAATTAAAATTGGATATGCACTTAAGCTCACAAGTATCAATACAACAAGATTTACTTTTTTTTTCATCACTAAGAAAAAATAAAAAACATTGCAAAGTTAAAAAAAAATGATAATATATAAACTGCTTCAGTTGTATTTTCTTTATCATAAACAGTTCCACTCAGCCTATTATGAAATGTTAATCAAGTTTGTAAAGATAAAAAATCAAGGTTGTTCTTTTTTTAAGTTTGCTTGTCATTTTATTGCGTGTCTCAGCAGCCTTGAATCTACTTGTGCGTGAGTAAGAAGTGCCGTGATAGTGCACATAGAATTGAAAAGTCGTTGATTTCATTAATAATTTTATCTAATTAATAATTCTTGAATGACAGCATTAATAAATATATTGATTAGATGTTTATTTAGAATCATTGCGTAATATGTACAAGAAGTGATGCCAAGATGGAGCGTATTAAGTAATTTAAAAAAACTAGTTCAATATAAGTTCCGAAAACTAAAGTATTTTGAAAAAATTAAGAGAAAAATTGAACTAAACCTTAATCTAAAATAGCTGCAGACAATTAAGCTTAAGTAGCTCTGATAAATCATTTAATACGCATGAAAAATTTTAATGAACAGCTATGCCACTTGCGAACACAACCACCCGACCGATTGAAAGCAGTGGAATTCCCAATTGCTATATTTGGAAACAAAACTCAGATCGATCATATTTCGGTCTCCTTGGCTGCCTCGGGTACCCTAATTAATATTACATAAAATCTTCCGAGATGTGCCGAATGGACCGAAAGTAATAATAATCCCCCTTTCTATATTTGGAAGCATAAAAAAATCAAGGTAAATGATGGCATGAAATACTTGAATTTGGTTTCAAATTATTCAATATTGTAAGTATTCCGTTCGTTTATTTAAAATGTAATAGTTATTTAGCATTATGCTAAATAATTTTTTTTTTGTAATAGTAATCAATATATTTAACATTTGGCAGATTTTTCGAGCATATCAGACCAAAAATGCCCGCAAATATCTAACATGGCGATGAATCAATTTTGAACTGAAGCGATTTTTATTAACAATTCTTTCATGGTTTTGAATTAAAAATAAAATAACAAGTTCTAAACCACAATAATATCAGCATTATTTCCCCTGTAGAGCTGTTGACTTTATCTACCACGTGATAAAATGTCACAAATTGACAACAGGAATTTTTGTTTTCGTATTCAAAATATGACTTGAATTGTGTATTTGCTGTAAATGGAAAGATTATATCCAACAAGTGTTCTATTTGTCAAATAATATGGGGGAGATTTGCCCCTGTTTGACTCAGGGACGTCGGCAAAAATCAAATGTTAGTGTGAAACATACACTACATCAAGAACAGGTAAAGGTATTTTATCTAACAAATTTATAAAAATCATTTACTTATACATATTCTTTATGTGTTTTTGATTGTATATCATAGCTATATATGGTAAGTGTCTCAATTGGCCCCTTAAAATTAATATCTTAATTTTACTTTATATATAGCTTTAATTTGTACAGCTATATATGCGACCTTTATTGGTCATTTTCATTTTGATCAAAATGCCGTTATTTTAGAAATATGACATCATAAAAATAACATTTTCCCGCCATTTAAGCATATTTTGTATAAAACTGCTTATTTTCATACAGTTTTTCTTCCAGAAAATATAGAGCGCAGTCTAGATCAAGATTTATATTTTTACCAAAGATGTATCTATCCAATACTAATTAGTGACAGAAAAATTATGTATGTTCTACACTGCGCTCTATGTTTCCCGTAAGAAAAAACATCAAGAAAAGGGCATATTTTTGGGGGTTTTTTTTGCTATATAGCAAAAATAGCATTATTTCTAATGTCATTTACAGCTAGTGAGTGTATATATATGTGAAAAATATATTGGAAATATTTCTAATATAATCTCCTCTACAAAATAAATATCAATTATACATGTCTGAATGTCATTCTAAAATGTTGATTTTTAGGGGGCCAAAATTGGCTCTTATCATATATACTCCTTTAGACATTTGTTGAAGCTCCGCTCATCCTTGAGAGTGATGATTTGAAGAAATTTTAAGCACAATACGTAAGGCATATCACTTTAACCTCTTCTTCCTTGACAAATATTTCAATCCTTATAAATTTAAAAACAAATTTAAAAGTTTTCCGATTTGACGCTTTCATTTGTCAGTGTATATTCTCTAAGAAATCAAAAATGTTTTGAAAATATTTAAACAATATCTGCATCTGTCTAATCAAAATATCATTAACCATATTTTAAAAAGCACTTGTTACTGTGTTTGGTCCATTTAATTTTATAATGGACTTTTCCGATCAAAAGGAAAAAGAATTTTTATTTTTAAATGACAGAAACACGGGAGCTCGGGTGTACATTTAAATTCAAATATGCGATGATAAGATACTTAAAGAATTGTTAATTACAATAATAAGTCGTGAAATGATTACCAAAACTGACACATTGGATACACACGACCTCCGAAGAAAACCTTTTTGTTTGATTCTAAAAATGATTCGCTTTAGTAATTGTCCTATTTGCGCTTATTATAGCTCATCAAACAAAAAACCTTAGACGCATGAAAAGATAAATGAACAAGAACATTAACACAAAAAAAAAATAAATAAATAAAATAAAAAAAAGCAAAGCATTCCCCCTTCATATATATGGAAAGCAAACCCCCGATTTAATAACCTCGGCTTATTTCAATATCCTACATCAAATAAATGATATCGATCAGAGGTCCCGAGTGGATCAAAAGTAGAAACCCCATTTCTTTGTTTGGAAACACCCAGAAATCAATGGAGGTATGAATTTCCCAAATGTTACTTAAAGTATTCAATATTGTACATGTAAGTACTCAATTTGTCCATTCTAAAATATAACCGTTTTAATTTTTTTTAACTTAATATATCGTATTGTATCGTTGGAAATAAACTAAATTAAATTAAACATCGCTATGAATCTGTTTTTAACAGAGGTTAAATACGCACTACCATAATTTTTTTCATGGTCTTGAATTAATGATTAAATATATTTTTTGTATCCTGGTAATATCAGCATCATTTCCTCAGAACATCGTATAAGAGATGAGTACTTCCTATACGATCAAATGCCTCAAGATTGATAGCTGCAATATCTTATCGTCTTTAAATTATTCAATTGTTTGTTTAAGAAATGTAACATCCTTGTATAATACATGTGTCCTAGTTGTCAAGTGATAATTAAAAGCTTAGTGTCTTCTTGACTCGGAATGTCTGCCAAATTCAGATGATAAGTGTTTGAACGATTAGAATTTTATGTGTATGTTTAGGCTATTTTGGCTCTATAAACGTATTTTTTAATGAAAGGGTATTATTTTTGATTACATGAAGTGATCCTTTCATTTGATTTTTCAATGACTTTTTTCATTTACCACAAAAATTGATACACATATATAAAGATAGATTCATATTAATACCATGTATCAATGGCTTTATTATAGTTTCTATTTTGTATGACTGAAAGTTTAAAAGGTATTCTTGAAATTGTGAAAAAAGAAAAACTTTTAAGTTAAACTATATTTCAGAGATCGAAGTATCAAAGAAAACGTTGGATCATGGGAGATGCACCTAGCCCCTCAGTGTTGAACTTTGACCCAAAGAAATCAACAGAAAATTTCGCACGACTCTGTCAGTTCTTGGTGACAATCTGTGGTGACGTCATGAGAGATATTCTCACTCATTTTATAAAGCCAGTCAAACTAAGAACGGAACTGGACCAAAATAGATCAAAACTTGGAAAATTAAATGCACAGGAAAGGGACTTGCTGTATCCTCCACATCTATCTTCCAGTAGTGTTCCGCCAATAAGATCCAGAGATCTGGATTTATCATTACTCTACAAGATCTTGCGTAATTTGTGCAACATTCCGACACATATTGCTGGTTGGGGAAATCAACCTCGTCCATCGGACTTTTCTTTGGCTGCATGCATAGAAAGGATCCGTATCTTACGAAATTCCATCTCTGGACACTCTACCAATGGTATTGTTGATGACGTAGAGTTTGAAGATTACTGGAGAGAGTTAAGGACGTCTGTTGTAGAGATTGAGAAGGAAGTCACCGGTAGCGATAGATATGAGAGAGGAATAGACCATTTATATGACTGTGATTTGAACCCGACCAAATCAAAGGAATATGTGGCCCAAATTAGGAGATGTTCAGGTAAATAAAATGATAAATTCTATTTCCTAATTTAATCATAATAATTTCATTGTTGTTGTTGATTTTGTTCTTGATTCATTACACGTAACAACAGAGTTTTAAAAATTACTTTTACATACAGATATAGGAAAATGTTTGCTTTATTTTTTGTTAATATTGACTTACATCCTATTTTATATCTTTTTAGGGGAATTGAAGGTTAAACGAGGTAAGAATAATAAATAGACCTTTCAAAATGTGACCATCAAGTATTGTCTTAAATGGAGAAAAAAAAAATTTCCTTTAATTCATTGATTTTGACTTTCCTTTAATTTTCAGAGAGAATTGATCTGGTTGAAGGTAAATATATGATTTTTAATACTCCTTTTTATATAATTATATGGAAAGTGGATAAAAATAAAATATGTTAATTATCTCAACTATAGACAGATATATAATTAAATTTGTATATCTCTTTTTTTTACATTGACAGAGGAAGCAAAGGCTAAAAGAGGTAGGTTAAAGATAATGTGAGCGTCAAATATTTAAAATGGAAATCTGATTAACATATAACACGTCAATAACACAAAATAAAGTGGTTATATTCAGAAATGTATTTTTTTTTATAAAGACTACATCCAAATCAAATATTTTGTGTTTCACTCTTAAATTCCTCTTATTTTGTAATAATATTTTTTTTTATCTTTAATGAAAATAATTAAAATTTTTTATTTTCGTACCCCTTTTTTTGTTGTAATGATGGTTCCTAGAATATGAATAGAATAGAATGTAATATTATATGAATTAATTTATCATCAAGGAGGGATTTCATTTTATTACTCAGTCTCATGTGGTTGCACGTGGAAACGTTGATCAATTTCAACATATGAAATATATGGAGATAACGAACAGTATTCACGATCAAAAGTCCATGGAAGAAATTAAAATAGGAGCAGGGCAAATACGAACTTCCAAAACGTCAGAGGTGCATGGAATCAGGTGTCATGGATGAGTAAGCATCCCCTGCCGTAATGTAACATAGTACATAATTTATGGCTTTAGATGAATTATATCTAAAAAATTATGCCTCTTGTGAAATTTTAGTAAGACTGGAAAATGTAGAGGAAAGACAGTCAATTTTAGAAGCCAGATTAACAGGTTAGTTTTCCTTTTTACTATCGTTTCTTACTTCCTTGATAACACAAGTAAAATCAAATTTTATTGATTGACTTTAAAATTATGAGTTAGTGGATCTGTTGTATCTATATAAATTTACATTTTTACATTTCTTTAAAGACAACAATGAAATACTGTTTATCTAGAAACCGACGTCTTCTTTAAAGCAACCGGTGGTGTGTGTGAGGGTGAGGGTTTGTGTGTGGAGGGAGGGGGGGTACGGATGTTTATTCTAATTCACAATATCTAACCAAGAAACTTTTTCATTAAAACCTTATTCCCAAACGTAGCAAAAACCCATTTCGGAAGGGGGGTGGGTGGGTCAATTTATTAAACGGTATGACTACTCCTGTCAGCAAAATTGAGGTCCGTGATTTTTAGGAGACGATCATCAGACAATCTTTAAAATTTATAAATTTATGTTTTTCCCCTTCCGACTTTGTGTAGATTGGAAAATATTTTTTCCCTCCCCGAAAATTTCAACGTTGGCCTGATAAGATTAATTTTAAAAAAATACTACAGTGTCCTGGAATGCTAGAAACAAACAAAAATCATTTTAGGCAGTCGGCAGGGAGAGTGCAACCAAAGATTGTTGAAAAGAAGGACTCAAAAGATATATTTTACATGTTTTACTATTTTTATATATAATTCACGAATAGCAGGAGCTGAGTGGATACAGTCCTCCTCCTTTTTTTTTTTTTTGATCAGTGCATGTCATTTATTCTTATTTTTTACGCATTTACATGTATTATTTTATAATTGAAAATGAAATGTCATTTCTCATTCGTCAGAAATTGTAGAGGGACTATCAACTGTGAAATCTGATATACTAAAAGAGTTTAAATCAACAGTGTCGAGATTACAACAGGAAAAGGAAACGTCATCAATCAGTAATAGTATGTATACTTGTAATACTTGTAATAGTTTAAATCACATTATTTTTTTTTTCCTACATGTATGTGGTAAATGAATTTTAAAAATGAGTAGTATTTTAAATAAGAAAAACTATAATTATGTTCCCCAAACGGAGTTTAATTTAAATTTAAATTTCAACATTTTTCTTATTTCTGGATAAAATCCTTTGAAATTTTGAATATAATCATACATTATGAAGATCTATAGCATGATATATTAAAATTATCATAAAAGCATGAGCATGCACATGTGCTGCAATTTGATTGGCTGAAACTTTAAACGCCTATAACTTTTTTGCTTCTCTACCAAACAGGATGAAATTTAGAATATGAATAGGCATGATGGATTCCTACATTATGCTACTGCAAAAAATTGAATGAAGGACATGCATGCACGTGCGCGCGCACAATACATAAAATGACCAATATATTTGAAAAACGATAACATCTATGTTTTCTATGATTTTTTTTTTTATTCTCACGATATAAAGATATGTTAAAGGTTTGGACAACATGCCATGATTACTTGCATGTGCATGCACGTGCGTGCACATGCAATACGTTAAATGATATATAGTTGATATCATTTTAGCTTTTATAATTCTTTAATAAAAATCCTTCGATACTGAGCACATTTAAAAAAAAGTCTTACAGGAAAAGTGCATAAAAAGAGAGTTGGGGAGCGTTTGGGGAACATCTGTAACGGTCCCCGTTACAATTAGAACTAGTTTACATATATTATATAAGAAATATAACTGTGTTACAGGCGGGACTGATAATTACGGCGAGACTTCTACGAGCGATACATCAATATATAGAACGAGCAAATCAACAACAACAATAAAATTCAAGTCTTACCTGCAGGCCTTTCACTTCTCCATGCATGTGACAAGAGACAACAAATGTTGGTTATTGGTTCCTGACTACAGCTTAGAACCCTCCAGTGGTTCCTTTGAAATAAAAAGGCTTCCCAGGTTAAATCTTCTCAGTGAGATCGGTGTCGACAAAGAAATTAAAATACCCGAGGAGTATAACGCTAGATTACCTTTATGTTACATGTCAGTCAATGACGATGGTGAGGCTGTGTTTATTTCTAGAAAGTCCCAGATAGCTGCTGGAGAGAACTTCGTTGTCTGCAAACTGTTTGATATTCCTGACAATTTAAATAATTTTGGCGGTTTATGCTTTATACGTTCTGGTAAATATCTTTTTCTAAGTCTCACTGGATTGTTCTTTGAATATAGTAAAAAAGGAAATTTCCTGAGGCAGTGGAAATCACCTGCAATATCCAGTTTAGATTTTCGTCAATCGAGTGTTAATCAAAATAGTAACGATGACGTCGTTATCACAAAAGGAAATCCATTGGAAATACCCCAAGATGTTTACATTTTAAATAAGGATTTTGATTTTAAAAGCCAAATCAAACTCAGACATGGTGGAATAATACCTCTGGTTTTCAACCAAGCTGGTCATTTACTTCATGGACATGGCCAGTCCATTGACCTACTAGACAGTAAGGGTCAATTTATTCAGACTATTTATAGAACACACAGACTCGACGAGATAAGCAACATGGCCTGTACTAGAAGTTGTACAATTTGGATTCTATACACGTCTAATGAAATTGACATATTAAAACTGGAAAACATTTTATAATTTTTAAATATTTCAGTCAGTGTTTTAGTTATAGAAAATGTCAAAAATGTCCGATATTGCAAAGATTTATGAACACTCTTTTTCAAAGGTAAAAGATTCAGCATGACAGTGCATTAATCATTTATGAACCAAACAATCAAAGCATATCTAAAACATATACATTGTATAGATTGACATGTTGTATCTAATTAAAGATGTTTTTGCATTGCCTATCTGCAAATTTGACAAAAATCTTATGAATCTGGTTTCATAAATTAAAAAGGTTTTTTGGAGGGGCCGGGGGGGGGGAGGGGTAGTAAGAAAGATTATTTTATTTGGTAATTCAGGAAAAATATATTTTAAAGAAATATTGAATTTATATTATTTTTTTTCTACTTTCATGTCTTTTTTGTGTCATGAGTATTTTTAGCTATCATATATAATTCATAATATCTTATGCCCTCTGCTTAGATAGTTTTTTTTTTCTGATATTAAGTTGTAGCATTGTATGTTTTTAAATTGATATATGGTTTTTCTATACTTTTCAATTGCCTGGTTTGTTTGTATGGACAGATCACTTAGATTAAGTCATTTAATGCCATTTCATAACTGAATCGATATCTTTTTATTAACATGTGTCCCTTTTGATATTTCTGTTTGTAAACTCTGTTTATAATTACTTGTATATTTTGCACATGTTTGTAGTACATGTATACATGTTTGAATAACGAGCGTATTATTTGAACAAAATATCTTTAGCAATTCTATTTAAACATTTTAAACATCTTTTGATGTTTCTATTCTTTAAAACTCTGTTTACCTGTATATTTGCTAACTTTTACAGTGCTGCTATCCTATAAGTTGACAATTCTATCCTATCCTATCGTGAATCCTGCATCCACGATCCTATCCTCTGATTTTAGTCTAATCCTATCCTATCCTATCCTGCAACTCTCAGATTTTTAATATTCAGGAATTAATTTGACAAAACGAAAAAAGGAATAACCAGAAAAAAAAATCAGATATAGTTATGGTATTCATTTAAATGTTATATATTTTAATGGAGAAAAATATTCGAGATCGGCATTCCATAATTCCCGACTCACCGCACAAATTAAATTTACGATTATCATTACCATGTTAAAAATTAATGTTAACAAACAGATCGTAATTACACGTGGACAAGTACTGATTTTGCGAACATATGTGAAGAAATTGGGCTTCCAGAAGAATTAAAGAAAAAATTTACCTAGTGTTTTAATTTTCCTACTAATAATGATCGGGAGACCCGGGATCGGGACTTGCGTCCGACGTGTTATAGTTAATTATTTTTAAAAATCATAAGCTTATACGGTAATAATGTTTAAGTATATGTCTCATGTAAAATTTTATTTTTTCCTAAACCGAGCACCATGAAATAACAAGCATGTACATGTATAATCTAACTGTGCCTGTGTAACAGGTTTTTCTGTATGCAATTCTGAAAAAGAAGATATGACTAGACCATAAACCAAACAGACAAGTCAAAATGTAGATCTAGAATATCTTGACTTTCACATATTAACCATTTTAAATGTGAAATTGTCTTATTATATCAAATATTAAATGTATGATTTTTTTATTTAAATTCATAATTTATTCTTTTTTTAAATTTCAGTTCATCTGTTGTATGTGATATTTTTCAAACATGCAAAATATATAGTTGCTAAATAGAATTCAAGATAATTGAAATGTTAATTTTTTTTCATTTAACTTCAGTTTCTTCTCAGTTTATGGTCAGCTAAGCACCGTACAAATGTATTTCAATTTCAAAGTTTGTTTTATGTGTGAAAATTTTATAAGAAGAAGGTATGGTTTTAGCGTTATTGCGGCCTAAAAATGTAATGACATCAAACAGTTTTGAAACTGGCTTAAATATTAGTTAAATAAATGACTCTGATAAATCAGGAAAGAATATGGCATGAAGGTTTACCATTCTGCAAATATGACGTCATTAATGTGAAGCATTTCTTTATTTTCAACAGAAAAAGCTTCAAAATGGCACATTTCAAGGGTGATTTTCCTTTAGAAAACAGTGTCCACAGCCGTCGCCCACGTTAATTTTTTGATATTTTGTGCAAAAATCAATAACAAATCACATATCTCAAGATCTTTGTGGGCGATGCCTGTGGACAATGTTATCTGAAAGAAAATTCCATTAAAAATTGGTGTCTTCTGCAACTTTTTAAGAAAATACGGGAAAATGCACAAGTTTATGACGTCATAATTAGCATTTAAAAACACAAGTGAGAAAAATGTATTGTATGATTTTTCTGCATTGAATTTCAATTATTTAAAAACATGAGTTTTCAACTTTTACACCAGTTTCATTTTTTTTAGAAAATCACAGGGCAAAATTTGTATGGAAACCATACCTTCTTCTTTATGTTCAGTAGAATATATTTTATAAATTTGATATTGGTTGACAGATTGACATTAATAAATATTGTAATGAGGTCACACATGTTTCTAAGATCTTATAAAACATGCATGAGAAATTCAGAATCCACAGTATTTACAGTATTTATAACTCATTCTTGAGTAAAGCAAGTTTGTATTTGACCGTGGCATTTGACCTTGAATGTTAATCAGTGTCAGATTGAGAAATATTAAAATGCTCCACACATGTTCCTTAGATCTTATAAAACATGCATAAGAAATCACAGTATTTACAGCATTTATAACACATTCTAGAATAAACCTTGTATTTGACCTTGACATTTGATCTTAAAATTTTCATTGTTTAAATGAGAAAAAATACATTATCAAGGTCACAATATTTTTATTCAAGGTGATTCCTCAACAATGTTTAACAATTGAATATTCTATTACCATGAGACAAAGTCATTAAAAGTATCCATGTACAGCATTTATGAATTTCAATTTACAGCATTTATAACACATTCTAGAGTAAACCTTGTATTTGACCTTGACATTTGATCTTAAAATTTTCATTGTTTAAATGAGAAAAAATACATTATCAAGGTCACAATATTTTTATTCAAGGTGATTCCTCAACAATGTTTAACAATTGAATATTCTATTACCATGAGACAAAGTCATTAAAAGTATCCATGTACAGCATTTATGAATTTCATTGCAAAGATCACAGATACATGTACATGAACTTTGTTCAAATTTAAGTTTATCAAGTTTTTATTACACTTGTATAATGTTTTACATGCATATAATTTGGTTTTCTTATCCGACGACGCTCAATTTGAAATTCAAATGTCAGAGTTATTGTCAGAGATGGTCATAAACCGAACAGTTCCACAAATGTCAACAATGCATAGAAGACAAACACTGATCTCCTTAATAAAAGCACCATGATTTCAGACTTGGGACTCTTTGACACTGGTTTGAACATCTTTCATCATTTACTTTAACAGCATATGGCATGAACTGCATTCTGTACAGCTGCAAATGTGCAGGGTTTCCTGAAAAAAAAACCCCATAATTATAGGCATGTATATTGTAAATTTTGTCATACACATTTCACACGCATTAAAAATGTTTTTGATTCTGATTATCTTTCACATTTCATGTACAATTGGTTTTAATTTCACCTTTTTCTCTCCCAAAAGTAATGCATTTAAAAATCATGAAAAATAATCTTATACTGCAACCTTAGTCATATAAAATAAAAAAAAAATCTTATTTAACATAATTTACTTCTACATTATAATTCATTTTTTATTGTCAACTTGCTATCAAGTATGAATACATTTGTTTTAGTGACTTTTCTCTATTTTCTGCTTGTATTTATCTATTTAATGTTTTTTCTTGGTTTTTTTTTTGGTCTTGAAATTTGAATATGAAAATCAATGTAGCAACAACCAGATTACCAGAAAAATTCAGCATTTCTTTCAGTTTTCCTCTCAAATTTTTGAAAGAAGAAAATCACTTGTTCTGAGAAACTGCAGACATGTCACCTCAACTTAGATAATGATGTTTATGTATTTTAATGAACATCATTAATAAAGGTTGTGATATAAAAACTGCTCATTAACAAATGATTACTTACTTATCCTGTTTTGCCAAACACCAGTCGTTCAAAACCAGGCACTCTATTTGTGCTACAAAACTCTACATTTTGCTCATTGTCGAAGTACAGTATTTTTATTGTTATCTCGCTGTTGAATACACTTTCAAGTAAATATACTTTTGTACGAAAAAAGAATTTTTTTAAACTGAATAACAAACGAAAAGTTTTCAACATTTACATTTGTTTCAAATTCCGATATTTTACTATAAAAAGATCCAAGGTACATCTATTGACAAGGATGGCTGATTTCAAGATTCTTAACATCTGGTGGATTTTTTTTTTTTTTAGATATTACCTTATTCCAAAAGTAGGTCATTGAGACATTCTTTTTGTTTTTCAACAAATTGACAAAACTAAAAATAAGGAGTTTTAATCCTCTTAGAATCCTAAACATTGACATAAACTATGAGATTAAAAAAAAAAATTCACGGTAACTTTTAAGCCACATAGTATCTGAAATATTAAATTTAGTCATGACATTCCAAAAGTAGGACGTTGTGACCTACTTTTTCGTTAAGGCCTCATGACAAGGATGATTTTTAAGTCCCAATTAAGCTGCACAGAGTCCAAAATATGCAAATTATACATTTTGAAAATAATTACTCGCACAATTCAACGCGAGGCCATCGGACCTTGTAGGTCACCTGAGTCTGATATTTCAACTTTAAATGGTTCATATTCTGAACCAAAGCCAATGAAATTCACAATTTAAAAAAAAAGAGCCATGTTTTCTCACCACACTTTACATTTTATCTGTTTACTTAATACCAAGAAGCAGATAATAGTCAAATGAATATTACATGTTTGCTTCAACATCAGTGTAGCCTCAAGAACTCCGGATCTGATACTGCGGCTGCACAGTTCCGGAGAAGACCCATTTCCTTATCATAAATGAGCACATACTATGTAATTACAGTGTAGTTTGTTTCTTTAAAACCAAGGAGAAGAGGAGGATTTCCAAAGCATCACTGCATTTTTTCTATAAAATCAAAAAGAGTCCCACCCGCTCAACTCCTGACTCTAGGGCAAAATGTTTCCAAATTGTGTAAGAAACTACCTTGTCCGTCATAACCATGTTCGCCCCAGGAGCAGATGCTCTGATATGAGATCAATGTATCAATTTTCACTATATTATTAATATAGCCCCTCCTAAACATCAGAACCTCTGATCAAGTGGTCATTTAACAATTTTGGAAGGATATCGTCCTTGCTTATCATATCCATAAACTTGGTTTATCAGGTTTATACCCATGCAGGAACATGCAGAGAAGATTTTCAAAGAATTAATGCATTTCATTCTATTCATTACAGGGGCCTTGAAATAAATCATCTTAAAGAAGCATTCTTGTTCATCTTAATCATACATCTTGTTTTATTGTTTGCCTAATCCAAATGCCGAGTATCTGAGATGTTTTAAAAAATCATACATTTTCAGTATATATATTCAACAGAGTCTTGCCCTACCACGAGAACCCCTGACCCTCTAACAATAATTTCACTTCTGCGAGGACTCGGTACGTAATCAAATCATAGGCAACAGTTTGTATGCTTGATGACCGGGAGTAAAATTTTTTTTTCAAGATTTTCTGTCCCACCCCTAAGACTCGAAGGGGGGGGGGTGTAGACCATTCATAATTTTGTCACCATCACTCCTTGATGTTATATTTTGATTAAAACTGTTTGATCAGTTCCTAAGAGATAGCAGTAGGTTACCTCAATGACTCAAGTGACCCAAAAGGTCGATCACTGATTTATCGTATGATCTCATATCGGACTTTCTCTCGGAGTAGGCAGCTGTACTGGTGTGTTGGAAGAATTCCTACTCCTTCTTACAACTGCATTCAGCAAAATTGTTGCCAGACGATACGAAAAAGTGATATTTTCAAATTTTGTCTGTCAACATTCATAGCTTAAGTTCATTTTTTTCGATTTATCCTCAATAATGTACTTTTTGATTTGTTGAGTACCAATATCTACTGGTTCATGACATAGGGTACGTCCATGGGATTTCTCTGCAAGCAAAGCACGCTGTTTTATACAATATCATTTGAAATCTTCATTGAAAAGAAAATAACATAAAGAAAATCTATCAAAGAACGACGAAACCAAACCGGTACGGATAATTGGTTTATTACATGATGATTGTGTTTATCAACCTAATGATACAGTACATGTAACACCCGGGTCCTTCACAGAACCGAGATATAAACAACGTACCAGCAGTTCTCTACACAATGACAATTCATAATTATTAATGACCAAATTAGTTTTCATCACGTAGGCAGTTAATTTCTACCCATCCAGGAAATTTTTCGAAGAAAAAAATCTTTCTTAGGAAATTATGACGTCATCTATGATATCATGTGACATCATAATTCTGATGGTACCATGCCAGTACGTGTTTTGAGGTCAACACACAGAAATAAAAAAACAGATTTCATGACATATTAACATTGGATGTGCACTAAAGCTCACAAGTGTCGGTACCACTAGTTACTGTTCTTAATCATTAAGAAAAAATCAAAACCATTGCAAATTTTAAAAAATAATAATAAATGAACTGCTTCAGCAGTGTTTTCTTTATCATAAACAGCTACAATATTCATAAAATCTTAATAATGTTTGTAAAGAAAACATTTCAAGGTCGTTCTTTTTTCTAAGTTTGTTTGTCATTTTATTATATGTCTCAGCAGCGGTGTATCTACATGTGGATGAGTACCCATAGAACATCTTCGCTAGCCAAGGGTTTCCGATCCGAAATCTACTCTACAACCCTTGGCAGATTTAGTTCTATCAAACGGGAACTTGAATTGCGCCGCCTATCGCCGTAATTGAGTTAAGTCCCTTGAAGCTCTTTAATATTTGTCCAATGAAAATAGCTGTAACATACGTAAATCAAAATGACGATTGAAACAATATGGCGACCTCCATGCAATTTGATGTGGAATTAACCCAACAACCTCGTACAGCTGTGGACAGTAGGCACACCTCAAAAGTGGTAGAAAATATCGTTCTTCGTTGATTTTTTGTCAAGAGTTTGACGACACTTTCTACACATTGCCTTATCAATTATTATCAATGAGCTGTGAGCCCCGTGGGGATCCGGGTTAGAATAGGTCCTCCTTGCTTGTCGTAAAAGGCGACTAAATCGGGCGGTCCTGCGGATGAGACCGTATAAACCGAGGCCCCGTGTCACAGCAGGTGTGGCACGATAAAGATCCCTCTCTGCTCAATGGCCCTGAGTGCCGAGCATAGGCCTAAATTTGCAGCCCTTCACCGGCAACGGTGACGTCTCCATATCAGCGAAATATTCTGGAGAGAGACGTTAAACAGCATACAATCAATCAATCAATGAGCAGTGATATTTGATTGGCTTAAATTGATGCACCTAAAATGCCGAACACGGACCTATGTGGTCCTTTCAATAATTCTTGAAAACATATATAATCCAAAGAAAAAAATTCAAATTAATTACTCCCATGTTTTTTAGCGTATACGTATATCACGTCCTCAATTTCATCCCTTGTAAATAATACTCTTCTTTTGCATAAAACACGAACAGACTTTAATTCAGCCGAAAATCGTCGATTAGTAAAAACCTTGCGTAGACTCGGACTTTGCAGCCAATCAAATTCGTTTGCGCGAGTTGTAAAATTTTCAGCCAAATCTGCCAAGGGTTGTAGAGTAGATTTCGGATCGGAAACCCTTGGCTAGCGAAGATGCCCATAGAAGTGCCGTGTTAGAGCACATATAGAAATGAGGGGTCATTGATTTAATTAATCATTTATTTATTGAATAATTCTTTTATAATAAAATAAATGTGAAATAAATTAGATAATTATTTAAAATCATTGATTAATGGATATGTAAAAGAAGTGATGCCAAGATTGGAGTGTATAATGCAATTATAAAAAAAAACTTAATTCAATACAAGTTTCGAATAACTTAAGTATTTTAAAAGAAATATTAAAGAAAAAAATTGAGGTAAATCTTGTTTTGAAATAGCTATATTCGCTCATGTAACAGCCTAAGACGCTTGTATACAAGCTTAAGGTGTGCATGACAGGCAGGTTTATGTGGTTGTGAGATTCAATTTTTCAGTTCTTGGCCAACATGCAATTAAGCTTATAGCTCAGATAAATAATCTAAAACGCATTAAAAATAATGAACAGCTCTGCTACTTGAGAACACTACCACTCGAACGTAATAAATGAAATTCCCAATTTCTGTATTTGGAAACAAAACTCAAATCGATCATTTTCGGGTCACCTTGGCTGCCTCGGGTACCCTACAAAATATTAGATAAGATCACCCGAGAATTGCCAAAAGGATTGAAAGTGATAAAATTCCCCCTTTCCATATTTAGAAGCATTCGGAAATCAAGGTAAATGATGGTATGAAATTTCTGAATTTGGTTCAAATTATTCAACATTGTAAGTATTCTGTTGATGAAATGTAACAGTTATCAAATATTGCTTATGATTGCATTATACTAGTAATAAATATGCTTAACATATATGAATATATATATATATATATATATATATATATATATATATATATATATATATATATATATATATATATATATATATATATATATATATATATATATACATGTATGAAAGATTACTCAGCATTCCCCGCAAATATATAACATGGCGATGAATCCATTTTAAATTAATGTGAATTGCGGACTAACAATTAATTCATGGTTTTGAATTAATGGCAAAATAATAAGTTCTTAATCACGATGATATCAGCATTATTTCACCCAGAAAATCGTGATATTAGAGATGTTGAGGTTATATACCACATGATTAAAAGTAACAAAATTGACAACAGGAACCTTATTAGCTCACCTGAGCCGGAGTGAGTTTTTCTTATCACATTTTGTCCGTCGTCCGACCGTCCATCTGTCTGTCTGTCCGTCTGTGAACTTTTCACATTTTTGACTTCTTGTTAAGAACCACTGGGTCGAATTTAACCAAACTTGGTACAAAGCATCCTTGGATAAAGGGAAATTTGAATTGTTAAAGTTAAGGGTCAGGTCCTCCTACAAGAGAAGATAATCAAGAAAAGACAAAAATAGGGTGGGGTCATTAAAAAATCTTCTTCTCAAGAACCACTGGGCCAGAATAGCTGAAACTAATATGGAAGCATCCTGGGAAAGTGTAAATTCTGAATTGTTCAAATATTGACCCTCGGGGGTTGGGCGGGGCCACAATAAGGAATCAAATTTGCATAAAAATATATAGGAAAAATCTTTAAATATCTTCTTCTCAATAAACTGAGCCAGTAAAGCTGAAACTTATGTGAAAGCATCCTGGGATATTGTAGATTCTAAATTGTTCAAATCATTATCCCCGGGAGTTTGGCGGGGCCACAATAGGGATAAACATTTTACATAGAAATATATAGAATTTTTTTTTAAATATTCTTCTCAAGAACTACTTGGCCAGAAAAGCTAAAACTTATGTTGAAGCATCCTTGGGTATTGTAGATTTTAAATTGTCCAAACTATGACCTGTGGGGTACGATGGGGTCACAATAGGTTTTATAAGGGGGAAAATCTGGTTAAGAATAGCATGGTCAAAGCTTCTCAGGTGAGCGATGTGGCCCATGGGCCTCTTGTTTTTCATCTTCAAATTCAGAGTTGAATTGTGTATTTGAAGTAAATGAAATGATTACACCCCAAAAAGTTCTATTTGTCAAATAAAATTGGGGAGATTTGCCACTGTTTGACTCAGGGACGTCTGCAGATATATATATGGTTAATGTTAAACATACACTACATAAATAAAAGGTACATGTCAAGGTATTGTATTTCGCAAACTTATAAAAATCATTGACCAAAAGAACTTTCTTTAAATGTTTCTGTTTGTATATCATTGCGAAATTTGGACCTCTGTTGAAACTCCACCTAGCCTTGAGAGTATTGATTTGAAGAAAATCTAGGCACCCGGTATTAAACGTGAGGCACTTGTCACCTTAACATCTTCATTCTTGACAACTCTGTCATCCCTTATAAATTTAAAAACCTTTCAAAAAAATTCCCAATTGACAATTTTTCTTGTCCTTCTATATCATTTCCATAAAAATCCAAAATTGTTTTAAACAATATTTAAACAATTGTGTATACTTGACTATAGTCTGTCCCACCAAGTTACTGTAAGCACTTTTCGCATAATATCTCAAAATATATAAATACCTTGGCCTTCAACCCAGTTCCGATTGATAGATCATTTTTTTCCAACCTTCCTCCATTTATCCGAACCCTCGAGGTCAACCAGTGTAAACACACGGCGGCAAATTCAAAGTCTACGGGGATTTAACATTGTCAAAATGGCCACCACTTCGGAAGGGGATCATCCATTGTTCGTAATTTTCCGTACGTTGCCGTCAGTAAGGAAATGACGTCACACACGTTCGGGAGTGCTCTATGGTTATCGACGTCCGAAAAACCTATAACGCCCGAGACTTCCAAGTATATATTTATACTACAAGAAATTACGTCTTCAACAAAACTTTCATATCCAGACTGAGACCGAAGGAACCAAAGATTCATAAAACGGTTATTCACTGCATAAAGGCAAAGAGGTATGACTCAATTCATACATAACATATCGATAAAATAATCGAGGCTAGGCTACTGCAAATTTAGCTCAAGTGAAATTAGTTTTATGATGAATTTCATAATAACGTAACATTAAGATTTTTAAAAATTATAATTGCTGCCTTACCTTAACGTTTCACCTTAGCTTTCCATATAAATCCAACTCCTTATAGTTTGTTAAAAAACTGTAACACACGGTCAAAATAAGTATCATATTATCGTTTCTATGTCACAGTACGTGAACAAGTGATGTCCTCACATGCACATGCCACAGTATTCCTTGACTTTGTTATACTTCCAACTCTTTGAACACATAAATCCTTCGTTGATATTTTATTTTTATTCTCAGTGCAAAACAACGTTTGTTGTCTGCATCAAACTATACGTCACCAATGAATTTTGACCTTGCCCTTCCAAACCTTCCTGTAATATCGGTGTTAGGTAAATTCAGACCCAGGAAATACATTTTTATTTACCTTAAATATAACAGAATACCAAAATTTCAAATATTCCTATACACATTACATAAAATTAAAATACATAATGCAAGTGTGAAGAATTATGATTTTCTTAAATATGTCATAATTTTTTTCCCTTCTCTATTTCAATAAAACAATTTATAACAGATAACATTTTATGAGTTTTCAGAACAAAAATTTTCATTGCAGGAATTTGAATAGCTGCCTGGTGCAACTACAAGATAGGAAAGCACAAACTTGTACATCATATCTATGTATTAAGCCATAAGTACCTGCAGATACCTGTATATTAAAGGTATGAAGTAATGCAGGTTTCCTGAGTTTGATTTTTGAGTCCCAGCAATTTTTTTTTCCTTTTGTATTTGTAAATTTTCAAAGTAAGTTTATTCATTGACAATTCCCTGGTACACAAACATGCATATATGCCTATATCATATACCTAGTAGTGTATCAGCCCTGATACAGATGTTTTGGACTAGGTGAGACAGCGCCTCGTAAGGCCAAAAAAAAAAATTGTCTTGTTTCCTGCTACCAGCCTGAAAAAAAATTGGGTAGTTAGGCAGGAAAATTATTTTATTTTTTTAACTTCTTTTTATTTTCGATATGAACTAATACAAAACCAAATTAAACATGCCATAGACCAATATATTCATTACAAATTAAATTTTGTCTTTTGATGCATGACTCAATGTTTAAAATGATGTTTAAAACATTTACATGTAGTATCATAAAATACCACTTGAATATACATTATTTTTTTCAGTTTTGGAACATGAAATTACGGAAATTCAAGATTTTTTCCGAAACCTAAAAAACTTTAGGGTCAGGTGCAAAAAATTAGGGTAGGTTGGGTAACAGGAAACAAGACTATTATTTTTTGGGGCCTAAGTAGAGCTGTCTCGCCCTCGAGGCTGAGATATCTCTGTCTCGGCCAATTGTAAAGGGGCTGTCTCACCCTCAAATGTCAAATCATTATTTCTGTTTATTTGTGTAAATTAAGAATAAAATTCATATTTAAGTAATTTAAGTAAGAGATTTTATATCAAAAATTTGATATAAAATCTTTAAAAATTATTTATTCATGGTAGAATATTGAGAAAATTGTTTTTAAAATTGTAAAATACTTTCGAATCATTTTATTATACCTGTCTAATATAGGCAAAGTAATTTTGAAATACTTTTACAGTAAAACTCATTTAGTACGAACACAGATATTGCGAATTCACAGATATAGCGAGGTAACCTTGGATCTCCAGCTATGTAAATGTAATGAATTCCTTATACGGATAAACAAATTATGGTTATAGAAAAGTATTTTCATAGGTCCCATTGACTTTTCTTAAACAGAGTTTTACTATATAAGGTAAACATTTTGACTTTTTACAAGATTCTGAGAACTTCAAACAACCTTAAAGGACATTGAGAAGTTATAAACATTATCATGATAAAATGAAAACTTTTGCATGAAGAGATTTAATTTTTCAAGATTCATTTTGAGATTCTGAATTAAATTATAAATTAAAGAGTTATCCTTCTTGGCTAAGGATCCAAGTACCTTAAACAAGTCTTGTAAAATTATAATTGCTTGAAAAATAAAACAGTTTTAGATTATAGGATAACCAGTTTGTTTGAACTGTTTTCATTGTTTTATTAAGTAAAATTTAAAAATATTTTAAAAGATAAATGAATTGTTTGTCCTATATTTAAGGATATTAGATCAAAATCAGAAGAATAAATGTCTATAAAAGTCAAGCGCCCACTGATGCTGGAGTCCATGCTGTAGAAAAGACATGAAACAGAAGTGAGAAAATGTTGACATCAGTCATCTATGACTGAAGATGGAGATTGTCTCTTTTCTAAAATTTCCGAGGAAAATGGTGTTGTCTGGCTCATCCAATGATCACTCTATTTGCAGACTACCAGGTAATCTTTGGTTTTGTCAATACTTTGTGCCTGAAAAAAAAAATTAATGATAAAACATTTTAATTCGTCATAAAGATTTCACTTTTCAGTGCATAAAAAATACTTTTTAAATTGTGCAAAGTGAAATTTAAAGATACAATACAAATTCAGATTGGCTCATCGTATTAATATGAATTGTTTACTTATTAAAAATACATATACTTGGTCAATTCTCATTTTCAGGTTCCAATCTGAAGTATACATAGGAAGAGCAAAATCTTTCTCATTCATATAAACACTTACTACCTGTGATCCAGAAGAATGTTCTGATTGTTTAGTTCAACATAAGATGGATTTCAATGTGACACGTTATTCTGAAAATTGAGTGAGCAGTTCTCTTAATGCAGGCATGTCTTTGTTACAATATCTCTGAGCT